TGAAGGGACGGCTTCGGTGAGGATGACTTGAGACAATGTTGACGGCTATTGGCCGTTGCAACGTGGACGTCTTCCTAGCAGGGCGTCAAAGACTACGCCGAGGACCTCAGCACGATGTCGTGTCATGCGCCTATCGCAACGCTACTCCGCCCGCTGACGGACTTCGTTACTTTGCCTCCACCACCACCGCCATCACTTCCCCTCCGCCCCTTCCCTACACCTTGGTACAAGCGTGTGCTCTGTGTCGCCTCTCAGCCGTATCGTACGTCACAGCGGACGGCGCGGTGTAGGCTTTGCGGCGGCTCCCACGGAGTACGACATGCTCTGAATTTCTTTCCCTGTGGATTTGTGCCGGAATGGTAGCAAGAATTTGCAGACTTCCAATATTCATCAAGAAGCGTCTAAAATTGCGTATATCCCAGCAGTAGGCCTAACATCCATTGAGTATAATACGCGTAGTAGAGGGTTTTTGATTATGCTCGATATAAATTTAACAACTTCCATTTTTATATGACGTTTAAATATTGGTTTCTAACACTATTCGTTATTTCCCTCGTGATAAGCTATATTAATAATTTCGAATACAGTTCGTATAAGTTGATAAAAATCTAAAAAGTATCTTATAATGTGGGTGATGTTAATGGATTCGTTAAATTCCTAAGAAGATAGGAAAAATAGAGAAGCATTGAAAAAATCGATTATGTCTGAAAAATGCAAATATTTGATTACGTTAATCTGCAATTACTCATTACGACTATAATCTCATACCCAATATGACAGGTGACGTTAGGCGACGAGGAAGGATGAAGCTTGAGTATTCATCTGTGCCGCTTCAGACGAGCCACATTTTGCTGCTCTAGGACTCCATTTTCCACACAACCTCAACGACAAAACTTCTGCAGATCACTAGACAATCTTTAAACTACTTTGTACTTCACTCACCGAATTGATACCCATAACTTTTTCACCCTTCTACCATTCTAGTCATGAGCATATGAGGTGTATTTGGTATCCACTGAGTGCAAATTCTCTCATAGAATTAGAATATCATATCTTGTCCGTGTATCAGAGCCCAATATTGCAAATCCACTATCTACTTTGATTTTGATGCCAATATATAATATGATGAGATCCAAATGAAATGTAAGAATGCGTCTGCGAAGTGATTTATAAATGACAGGCTTGAATCTTGATTGTGTGATCTTGAACATAAATACTGTTTGCTTTGTGATTGTTGTGTGGAAGGTTAAGGAAGTGAGGTCGCAAGATAAATTGCTTCTGTGGTACTACGACAAACGTAAGAAACAATAGTTATGAGTAACTACAGGAAATATTACCTGTCACTTAAGTTACTGATGAGTACAATGATGCTCAGCAAAGATAGGTAACCCAACAGAAATACAATGTATCTGGCTAAGGTAAACGTGTATCTTTGATTGGGAAGGCTCTTGTTCTCTTAGAGACGTTTCCTTGAGTTTAATATGACTTACGCTCGATGATTATGACGATACTGTGGGACACACTTTCTTTGCTTTCTGGCAGCATCATGACGCACACTGGGGTAGCTTCCTTCCTCCATGAAAACGGAATTAACATCCCGGTCGAACCTTGTCGAATCTGTGGTGGAAATTTCGAGTTCGTGGTACGTTTTCTCAAGGACCCACGTTTTCCGTATTTTTCATTCCACCATTTACGTCATCATTCACTTCATTCCTTCATACTTGACATTAACTAATTACTTTCCCAGGTAAGCGCATCGCACGTCAAGATACAAGGAATTGTAGATGAAATGTAAATTTTAAAAAAATTTCATTTTCCAGGTCAGAATCAAAAGAAGACGAACTAATATTTTCTGCACGTGTCGAACCTACAACCCCAGCAGAGAGTAGTAGTCTCCGGGTTTGGGCCCGCACAAAATCAGAATACGTAATAAATGAAAATATTCCTAAATCTTTCTTTACCCAACGGACCAGATTTTTCGGTTCTTTACGACTAAAGGATTTCTGTGTTCTCCAACACTGACAACCTCCACGGGGCTTGGGTATTTCTTTTGGTGGTACCGGACCTGGATGATTACGTATGCATCAAACGCCGACCTCTGTGATTGGAACTGCTCTCCCAGAAGGCGCCTCGAGAACTGCCCTAATTAAAGAGAATTACCACAAGAATGCAATTACGTCGCTTTCTCGTAAAAGTGGCGACATCTTATTTCGGTGACATCCCCGAAATATACTGTATTCCGAATCGGGATTCGGTAGAGGTTCTTTGTGTTTACGATGTAACAGACATGCACTAGGAATTCATGACGAGTTTTTTTGTCGAGGAAGACGTGAAATCTCTGTATTTTCGAAGAAGTTAGAAAAGTCTGCCACCACGATACGTTGATTAGGTTTAATTTAATGTGTAATTCAATGAAAAATTCTTTAGGACATTAATTATTTTATTTGGCTCGTTTTACAGTGTAAGAAGTAATACTACCTCCCCAAAGCAAAGAATGACTCTCTCAAATAAACAAGAACGCCAAAATTATTTAAAATATAGTACCTGAAGCAACCACTCTCGTTAGCGGAACTGCGTTTACTTTGTGAACTTGCAAAAAAAAAATTGTTACAGAAAAGAAAATTTATTTCCAGTACCTTAAAACACGTTTATTATAATTTTATAAATAATTCATATTTCTAGCCTGGCTAATATGCATTTTGTAACTCATATTCCGATAGTGAATATTTTATTAATTTACATCCACTTTTAATGAGTATCTTACACGAGCAGAATATTGACTGCTTCGTGACGATATACATCTGTAGAGAGCTGCAATTCTCCGAGAGTCATGCATGACGTCATGTGACATGCGCATGCACGTATCGCTATTTACACTTACACCGCTGGTGGGCGAGTGAGAACAGAGCACACGTGTATGGCGAGACAGCTCTGGCGAAATCGAAGAAATTTGTTTACTTCACAAGTGACGCGTTTGGAGTGCGCACAGCGTTTAACTTTAGCTATCGAATGTCTTCGCTTCGGGAAACTTGATTGTGTTGCGTCGTCAGCTACGATTGCCTAAATTATTTTGGAATCAGGTTCAAGGTTGCTGATCGTAAAACCACAATGCCTTTTCACAGAAAATGTAGGTCGTGTCATAATCTACCATGCTTATTTCTAGGGTACGGATGTTTATGATCTAAAAATGCTATAAATAACTAAGCATTTACGACCTAAAAATATGGTAATATGTTCAACAATATGACTAAAATAATTGTTGGTTGCATTTTCAAAAACCTTCAGAATCTTGCCCCTGTTTAAATAACTATTATATTGAAAAAAGACTTAAAATCCAGCATATTCAGTAATTATAAATAGCTTACTCTTTCCGTACAGCTTACCTTCCTAATTCACATAAATGTAATGTATTGATAGAAAAAACATACAAAAATTAGATATAACAATTGTAACAAATTACGGATAACAATTTGATGTGAAACATTTCTTTGAACGACTGTAAGTATGCAACAATGTAATGAAAACGATAAAACAATAGCAACACGACAATAATACGAAATTTCACAACAATACGACATTTCTTAGAAAAATATAGCTATAATCTGACAGATTCAACGTAAAATGGTAAAAGAGTTTAAAAAGCCAAAATATGATTGTAGATGACACGTGAAAATTGCATAATTTTAATTATTATAGATAAAAGCATGCTTATCTTACATTTGCAAGGAAACATTATAAAGAAAAAAAATATGACATGACATAAACATCTGTACCCTACTTAGTTCATCATCATCAGCAGCAGTAGGAGCAACAGCATGAATTAGGATGATCTAGCCTGTTCCGGTAGAGTTGTCTAGAGATAATCATCTCTTCTTTCAATTTCCTTTTGGGAGATAGTAATAGGTCGGTTTGGGCAATGTCTCATTGTTCATTTTTTGTAAATGATCTATCCAGTTTTTTCTATACGTATTTATCTTTTCTTGTAAGCTGGTATTTCCTAATTCTTCTTCTATTTCCTTCATTTGTGATTTGGGCCATTAATGTGAACCCATTCGCGTACCTCAGGAATCGCATTTCTTCTTTGTTAATTCTCCTGTTTGTTTTATTAAAGTAACAATATTTATTTTTTTTGTTTCTTAGCGCTTATGCCGACTAAAGCCAATTTCTCATTGCAATGCATCATGAACCACGTGGAAAAGGCTTAGGGTCACCAGAAGGCGAGGCTCTCGAGGTGCTCTGCCTCCGCCTTCATATCCAACCGGCACCATTGCTCCGCAAATACCTAGTCGTATTGCGGATTGCATTAAACCAAATTTTGTCAAAAAATATTGACGGAACGTCACCAAGGACGCGTCATGTTCAACTACTCCAAGCTACGATTTATCGTTATAGAATATTTCAAGAAAATCGCTTGAAATGTATTGGACATAGAAACATGCGTTATAATTGCGAGTATATTAATAGAAGATGTAAACTACGTACTAACAGTGAATGTGGGTACAATCGGTTACTCCACTGCAGTTACTACTCTACCACTCACGTCGGGAGACCAGTCTGGGACACAGAACATATCCTGTAAGAGCCATGCCCCTCTGGAGAAATACCCGGAAAGGTATATGCCTCTCATCACAACGTGCAGGTTGAATATCACATTCTACATCAGCACCTGCAGGGATAAAACGGCACAACTCTTACAGGGCCAATGACTATAGCTCTCGGAAACTAACCAATGAAATCAGCTAGGAGCTTACAACTTGAGCCGGCCGGGGCGACGCTCGCTTGAATTTACCTTGTGGGAATCCCCGTTTTGAGTGCTCCGGATTCTATTCCAACGGCGGAGGAACATTCCCACCTCCAGGGATATATCTCAAACTACACTTACGGGACGAATAATCTAACTAATGGTTTTGCCCCAAATCATTTTCCTTCCCTCCTTACGTACAATTATTCTCAATCTCTTCCATCAGCATCAGCGCGTGGGCGTGGGTGTGGCGACTCACCAGGATGTTGCAGGTGAAGGGGCAGTGCGGGCAGCGGTAGGGGCGCGCGCCGGTGTGCAGGCGCGCGTGGCGCCGCAGGTGCGAAGCGTCGGTGGTGGCGAACGGGCAGTGCGGGCAGGTGACGGTGCGCGCGCCCACGTGCACGTACTTGAAGTGCCTGCGGACAGAGGCACAGTCAGGCGACGAGACGGCACTCCACCGTGAAAAAATAAACTCACAAACAAATAAGTACACATATGAGTAAATAAATATATGAGTAGGTCCATGGGATATGTACACTCGGCCTCCGTTTATGTAACAGACAATTAGATTCATTTCTGTTAAATGGAACCACGTCCTCACAATCCATCATGTAATAGAACAAGGATATCTAAGAGTATTCAGTACTTAAGGGTGCAAAATTCAATTTCTCAGCAGTTCATTTGAAACACTAAATTCCCAACTTAACAATGATTTTGAAGTCAAATTTTGACCTTTGTATTGCTTTGACCCTTGCTCTAAATATTAAGAGAAAATAATGAGTTTTGAAAAAATGCCCCAAAGTGGGTTATTGGCAGCTCACTTTTACAGAGAAGTACTTTTATGAAAAGATCTAAAACATATTATCTGAATATACCATATATTCAGAAAGGAAAGTTTTTTTTTTCAAACAGTGGCAGAAAATACCTCTACTTAGAGGCAGAGTTATCACTCGATGAGTAAACCATGTAAAGTAACCTCTATATAAGATATCCTCTTAATAAAAGCAATAATTAAATTCTGTACGCTTTTGTTGTTTTGATGTATTGAGTAATTTCCTCAATTTTGGAAATCCATCCTGACGATTATCAGTATACCACAAAGAACACAAACAGAAACTGTTATAGATTAGTGATTTCATTTATGAATCTGGAAACACGCGTAAAAATTCTGTCCTACGGTAGCAGGAAGCGTTAAGAAAGATTTTTTTTCATTTCAGTTAGATGAATGAATGTCCTTTCATTCTCCTATTCAACCCGATCACAAACAATTCCGTTTCGTCCTCATGAACTACGTAATCTCTTCGGCGGTATTAAGCACTATGACACCTGATTCGTCTCGTAATACGTGCTATCTTTTGGACATTGTGGAATGACGTAAACAATTACGCACTGCTGTGCAGGAAATAACAGTTTCCATCAAAATGACACAGGAAACAATTCCTCTCAGAACCTGCCGTTTGCTTTTTTCGTCAAATGACTCACTGTACAAATTCTCTTACATTAATTTCCAATCCACTTCGTTCCCAACGATAGCAGTGGCCTCTACCGGATTTCGCTCACAGCATGAAACGTGATAGCATGAAGTTGGAAGAGGCGTAGTTAACGGCAGTTTCCGGAACACGTTCTCGCGCCTAACTCGCCGCGCGTCCGCCTACGTCGCCGCCGCCAGCGCCGCCGGCGCCGGCGCCGTCGCCATTAGAGAAATTCCTCAACTCTTGAACCGGCGGGCATTGACAAACGCGCGCTGCAGCCATAAATCGCGGAAGAAACCGCGCGGCGTCGAGGTGCTCACGAAACGCGGCGCGGGGCGGCGCGTCGCGGGGCGGGGAGGCGCGCGTTATTTATCGTCCGGCCTCTCGTTGATGCGCCTCTCTGGGTGACGCTGCCGGAAGGCAGCGGCGGATCCAGGGAGGAGGCAAGCATGGGCAAGTTGAACTTTGGGAAAATTGCGATTTGGGAAAATTCAGAAAGTTTTGATTATTTTGTACTTCCGGTCGCGTCAAGTGTCAAGGTCATTCGTCCCGTTAGTGCAGTGTTGTAACCGGAGGGTAGGTGGTGGTGTTCCTTCCTAGCTGAAATGTGAGACCAGGTTGTGATCTACTTGCTGGCTTGCAAGGTTTTCTCTCCCAGATAACTTCAACAGAGGGGAACCGCCTCAACCAGGACAAACTCCAAATTCTCGACTGGTCTTCCGACACATATGGTAGTGTAGAGCATAGAAATGTACGAGAGAGGGGAGAGGGGGAGAGAGGGGAGAGGGGGGAGAGGGGAGATAGGGGGTAGAGAGGGGAGAGGGGAGAGGGGGAGAGAGGGCGAGAGAGGGGAGAGGGGGAGAGAGGGGGAGGGGAGAGAGGGGAGAGGGGGAGAGGAGGGGGAGGGGAAGGAGGGGAAGGAGGGGAGAGAGGGGGAGGAGGGAGAGAGGGGAGGAGAGGGAGAGAGAGAGAGGGAGAAGGGCAGAGGGGGAGAGAGGGGAGAGGGGAAGAGAGGGAGAGAGGAGACAGCGGGAGAGAGTGGAGAGATAGGGAGAGGGAGGGAGAGAGAGAGGGAGGGGGAGGGAGGGACGGAGAGGGGAGGGAGGGACGGGGAGGGAGGGAGAGGGAGGGAGGAGGGAGGGAGGAGGGGGGAAGGGGAGGTGACGGAGAGGGAGGGAGGGAGAGGGAGGGAGGGAGGAGAGGGCGGGAGGGAGGGAGAGAGAGAAGCAAGAGTAAGGAAAGAAAGATCACGCACGGTCTGCGTGCTGTTGATTAAAGTGCTACTCTGGAATTAACCTGGTCGTTAACTAAACGGAGAAGCCACGGAAACTACCAATCTATGCAGTTGACCACTAGAATTCCCCTTTACTCAGTGGCTGAATTGGACCTAGTTGCCTACGTGGTAATGACAAATAGACCCCATTGGGACCCAAATTTTGCGATGCCCTCTTTCGAGACGCTATAGTGGTAATGTTTGTGGTCCCGAACCATCTAGGCCGGTCAGAGAGTTTTATAAATTTTATAATTTGCTGCATCTGTGTGTATTTGCTCTATTATAAAAATCGAAATACTTTCACGTCACAAGAACTATGTGAAAATATACATATTTTATGTGGGATCAAACCCACAACTCCGCAACCAATTTCCGCATCGACTATGAGGTGCGCGAACACATGTATTTACACAAGTTTTCTTAATACACATGTACTACATTTTCTATTTATCATTCGAAACTTCCGATATAATGAATTTTCAAATGTCTCTTAACGTCGTAAATGGTTATCCCTAGTATTGACTGAATGCTACAGAAAGTATGGATAATGATATTCGTTACGAGGCCATCCCGACTTCAAGAAGCCCCAAGCGCTCATAATGCCGGGTCATCTCCGTTTAATTTATTCTCAAAGTTAATAGAGTTTTTATTACTTCTAAGATTCCCTAACCCAGCATGATAGTAACACGTCTAACGAACGAGCATAGTTAAAACCAACGTAGTTGTAACGTAAGTGAATGAGACGATACGGAGGAGGGTTCGGAGAACTCCATCGTCGCACGTTTCCCCCACACGAAGACGCGGAGGACCTAAAGCAACGTCTCCAATTTTCGGATCGCTACTCTCCTCCCTGTTTGAGCAAACATTGTCTCCTAAATTCCGCGTGCGAGTGCGTAAGGATATGAGATAGCTGCGTGGTAGCATCGGGCTCTGAGGAAACGATGAAATACTCGGAAGTTTTGCACGGCAAGGGAGGTAATGTTAAGAGGGAGGTCGCGATATTTGATTGGGTTCGATATTTGTAAGCGGAACCAATAATCGTAAAAGTAAAGACTGCCAATGTATTGAGCAGGAAATATATGAATACTTAAAATATAAATTATTATCGGAACGTGATTTCATTTACAAGGGGAGAAATGCATGTTATTTAATATTCAAGATAACTCCAAAATATTTCACGATTAATTTCCGTAAGCAGCCACCTTATTTTATTTATTTAGTTAGATGAGATAACAAAACAGTACTGCATTTGAGCCGTAATAAGTCTCAGGAGCAAAAAACGTACCGAATGGGGGGAAATGCAATGGTTTACTTAGAATATGTAGTTAATCTTGTTACTTCGATGGCGAACCGCAGTTTGGGTGCGGATAGAATGGTATAATTGGTACAGTATACTATTGTGGTATTTTTAAAACAATACAAATGAACTTACTTCAAATAAAGGAGTTACTCACTTTCCTCAGTGAGTAGGAAATGGTGCGCCAAATAAATACTTTAATTGATAATGGTAAAAGTAGATGTGAGAAAAAGTTGACGACTGTTATAAGTGAAAGTTCGAAATTGAATGGGAAGCCTGATCAATAGAGATATTTCAAGCGTTGACAAGAAGTACGAACTTCATAATAATTCTGAACGTAAACTTAAACATACACTGTCATCGTATTGTACGAGTATATGGGAGTTTTATCACCAAGCGCCTATTTTTGAATCGCATGTATCAATCCGTCGACTTCTTAATTTGAGAAGACTAGTTTATCCGTGTGTAAACATGTGTTCAAAGCAAACGTCACCTGAACTGTCCGCTTCGTTCTATTGTTATTCCACCGGGACCCAGACTCACCATACGGTAAGAGGTGGAACCGAGCTGCACGAGATGGAGGGGAGATGTTTCGTGGATCTGATGCACGAGACGGATCACCCCAGTCAGCGTCGGCAACGCAGGTTTAGCGTGGGATGTGAACCACTCAAGTTCAAATCTACGAGGAGATCTTGGAGACAAGTGAGACTCCCTGACGGAAGCTCTGGAGACAGAGATTTGTAGGCAAGGTGGGCGAAAGACGGATATTCGAGACGGAGGAATATTTTAAGGTTACATTTAAAAAAACGAGTTCTGAAACTAAGGAAGAACGTAATATATATTGGTGACTGGTAAACAAACAGGGATAGAACGGGAGAGAGCACCGACACGAAAAATAACCATGGTGGAACAGAACATAAAATGTGAAGTTGCAGATGGATGGGGTAGATTGCGACCAAAGAGTAGAGAGGCGGTCCCGGTGGTACATGTCAGTAATGATGGGGCACTAGGTTACAGTGAGAAGCGATGCCTCACTTGAGAGTGGGAAGAAGAGGGAAGAATTGGGTGAGTGGGAAGGAAGCGGTTGGAATCCGAATGGAAGCGAATAGAAATGGTTGAGTGAGGTACGAAGCAGCAGAACGCCAGGTGGGAAGAAAAATAGGGGCACACTTTGTGGCTACCGCGGGAGAGAATGAGCCCCAAGGGCAAAAAGGGATCGGCAATTGAAGGGTGTGGGCGGCCTGCCGGAGAGGGCGGGGTGAGAAGACCTGAGAAACGGCAAGGTGGGGGGCACTTGGCGAGATGATAGAGGCGCGAACAGGACTGACAAGGGATGGGTTTGAGGTTTGCCAAACGCGGGGACAGAGCGGTGGTGGTGCATGGACCTAGCACGGGGTGGGGAGGGACGG